ACATTTACACCACCCGATTGGTTCAAGTAACTTACACTAGTATACACGTTTATTACAAAATATTGGCTAAAGTATAAAGGAATACCAAATGCCAAAAATATCGCTCGTTTTACATTATTTCTTCCCACAGTACTTAGTTTTTTCATGAGTTTCAAGTTTATCTCGTTTCCTCTTTTTGCAAAAGCTGCAGCCAAACGAACGCAATAAACAGGAGATGATCTTTTTCAAATAGTTTCATGTAGTTTGCGTTTTTATTTAAAATTTTTGTTATATTCTGTTTACCAATGAGATCCATAGAATACACCCAGGGGTTCTGTAAAATTCATTCCTCTGTAGTTTTTAAATATTCTTATTCCCGAGTCACAGATCGTTCTAAACTCTTTGATATCACGCTTAAAAATTTTCCTGAATAAAACATGTGTCAGAACGGTATAACGTGGCTTTGTACGCGCGCTAAAACCTCAACAACGATCGCTTTAATTTCTTCTACTATGAAACGTTTACCGGTTGGCTATTCTTTGTTCGAGTCTGAAACTGAAAGATTATAAAACACTGACGAATAGATTGATCAGTTGGTTCGCGTGAAACTCTCCGAGGATCTATGCACTTTAAACACTACTTCTTTGTCCAAGAATACTATCTTCTTTGTTATCGAAGTCCTAAAATTGTACAATGTCCAGTTTGTTTGTTTCTTTGTTTGTATTTTTTTTTGATATTAGAAAATACTTTACATCTTTTTTTACCTCGAAGAGTTCCTCCAAAAGTTTAGCTTTTAACATATCAAATATGTCAAAATACTTTTTCTTTCTCTGGCGTTGCGTTCAACGTTTGATTCGACAATTGCTTGTACAATGTGTACATGTATACGTGTGTATATATATATATTTTTGTTTTCGTTCTTTTTTTCTGGAAGAAGTGTCAGTGAGAAATACGAAATATTTATGGCCTTCAGATTCAGCAAAATTTAAACTCTTCGAAGTCGAGAAAAAGTAATTCGTTGTGTGTATGTATGTGTATATAGAATGTTTCAAGTGTGAGTTTAAAATCTGCGAAATATACAAGAGCCGAATTAATCATAAACTCATATTACAACGAGGAACTCCCAATAAGATTCAATATACATACATATGTACTGTCACGAGCGCTATGTTCAGTTCGACTACAAATAATACTCAACATTCTTATGGACATAAAATAGGCAGCGGCGAGCTGTGCGCGCCAATATACCAGTACAACACACTATCAAAAAGTCACATTTAGTACGTGTTCTGATCGTCAAGCTAATCTCTGAGTGGTAGACCGCATAGTTATTGTAAAATCAAACACGTATCCATTGTAAAACTTTATTCTGTAATCGTAGCGAATAAATAAAGCGAAACCTCATCTTGAATTTTTTCTTCTTTACAAAGTGATAAATTTATCGAACATGACAGTACACACACGACAAATACGCGAGAATTTCGATATGAAAAACTTTGTACAACACGCTAATCTTAAATTACACCGCTGTATACACTGGGCGAATTGTCCTTAATCAAATGTACCATTTACATTCACCGAGTAAAAATATCACCGATCACCGGATTTTAAAAAAAATATAAGAAATGAAAAAAAAAACGAAAATTTACAAACGCAAATAAATAAATCCTTAGGAAAGAACTCTCTCTCTCTCTCTCTCTCTCTCTCGCTTTCTCTCCCTCTCTTTCGCCCAATCATTCTCTCTCTCTCTCACTCTCTCGGTAAGCGTACCAAAAAACAAATTATAGAACAATCTACGAATCTCGAGAACGAAAAGGAAATGCAAGCAACCTACTTTTATGCATTCGTTAATTCGTTTTCACATTTTTGTTTCTTTACAAAAAATAGCCTACGATTCTCTTGCCATACTAATTTCTTCTTTTTTTTCTTATTGCAACTTACTATCTTTCTCTCCTTCTTTCTCCCTCACTTTCTTTCTTTTTAATACATTCTTTCCTCTAAATCGCCTCTTAAAGAGCTTTGTACTTCAGAATGAATGTTCAGTTTCAGGACTTCCACGGATCGTCAAATAAAAAACACATTTGTTGCGGAGACGCCTCTCTTTCTCAGTATCAACTTAAAAATACGTTGTACTGTTGAACGTATTCCGGATGAAAAATTAGAACGAAGAGGGAAAAAATTAGAAAATTTGAGCGCAAAAGAACGATTCTTAAAAAAGAATAGATGTGTATTCAGACTCATTAACAGGAGGTACAGAGCGACGAAATCGAAACGTGGGAACGTTCAGTCTAGGGCCTTGACATTTCTTTTTTGCAACTGTACAATTTTTTACCCTAAACAGGCCTGTGTTCTTCCCATGGAATCGATGATCATCACCACGATGGAATCGAAAAGCAAAAATTTCAATCCTCGACCAAGGAACCCGTCACTGTGCGGTGATTATCGTTCCATTTTAAATCCAAAGAAATGTACGCTTTTTTTTAAAGATCCCGATCATGTCGATGCTCTTTTTCCTTTTTTTGTTCGTTTTCGTAAAAAAATAAAATAAAAACTGCAACTCACAGCACAGTGTCTTAGTTTCTTCTGTATCTCTCCCTTGACTCTTTCTTAACTAAGATTAAATGTACACTTCAGTATCGTTATATTATGCATATATGCAAATGATATTTACAAAGAACTCGGATAATGCAGGTATGCACGTTTTTTTGTGTACGTGTGTTCCTTTGTGTACGTGTGTATACATATATGTAATATATAACTGTCAGATGGTCCTAACCGATGCGTATCACGATTATCGGTCTGGATCGGTTCCAACTTTGTTGCGGTTTCACCAAAGTTGGACTAATGCTATGTATAAACGTTCTTAGGGCACCGTTTTCACCGATATAAAAAGTGTACATCGTGCAGTACACTTTTGGCCATAACACGATTAGATGCCAATGTTTTCCTTAAATACGGTCATTTATCTATATAATGCACGATAACACTACATATTCCTTTCTTTTTTTTCGTTTTTTTTTGTTCAAAATACTTCATTATCACTTTAGGCCACGCGAATTCCATCGAGTGCGTCTCCGAAACCATCAGAAGTGTGTCATTTCTTTCATGTTTCTTCTCTCGCAGTCAACGGTGTACGTATAACGTCCTTAATACAAGCGAGAACAGAGTAGCACCTGTATGATCACGAATCTCTTCTTTATTTTTACTGCCAGTCGTGCGTGCGCGAATTATCATTTTATCATATACATTTAAATACCCTTTTGCTAGAACACGAACGACGTAAGGCAGAAGAGATCGTGAGTTTGTTATTTTTTTCTTTCTGTTCTTCTCTCGATATATTTTGTTTCGCCCCCTTTCCCTTCAGGCCAGGGAGGATAACTTAATATGCTTTAATCTAATGGAATTAAACGACCAAGTCTAATAAAAATTTCCCCAGCTAAAAAGTTTTTCGAGCAGCGCTACCTTTTTATGTGGGTTAAGACCTCGGCGCCGGGTGATTGTAAAACTGCTTCTGCGATTGGCCGGACGCAGGATACATTTGATTTCCGGATGGCGGTGTCACGGACGAGTACTTGGAGATTGATACTGCTGTGGTAGATGGTGGAATAAACTGAGGGGGGTATGGATTCGAGCCCGGTGGTGCTTGAGACGCTTGTGGTACTAAAAATTGCTGCGCCTGTTTATTCGCAGAGGCCTGTGGGGCAGCGTTCGTATAAATTGGCTGCGAGGTACTCTGCGGGACAGTGAAGTTCGGATACTGGACAGGACAAGGCGGTTTGCTTTGGAATTGGGGATAATGTATTGACGCTGATCCTGGAGGAGGTATATAGGGTTGAGGAGGCAGCTGAGGTACAGGATACCCCGGTGGGGTATTCGAGACAGAGGGATGTGGCGGAGACGTCTTGCGTGCTTTTAATATTGCCTCTGCTGTTAGACCTACGATAATTTTCAATTAAATAAACGTATGATTATCGAAAAAAGAAAAGAAAGGAAATAGAATTTTACCATGTTTGCGAGCTCTCTCTTCTTCGTCGTCGCTGAGGAACAATCCAAACTCTCGTTTCAATCTTTCCGTAAGGTTTTCTCGTTGACGTTCAACAAGAGTTGGAGCTGCGGACCAACCTATTGTGCCTTCCTCACCACCTAAAAGAGCGTAACACTTTAATGAAATAATGTGCTATTTTAAATATAAATATTTTCAATATCCCTGTTGATCATTACCTTTCTTTTCTTCGCTTTCTGCGTTGGTAAAAAGCGGTAGCGCGGTGAGGCTCGGTATATCGAGAGATAATGAAATTTTGGATCCTTCCTCATCGGAACTGAGAGACGAAGTCCCGCTGCTCGCACTGTCCGATCTACCTCTCGCCCCTCCTTTATCCGTTGCGGAAGCATCATTTGACGGTTCAGGCTCTGGAGGCGTGCCAGACGATTGTTGTTTGCGTTTACGGTACTCTGATATGGACAACTAGAACAGTAAATTACTTTTGAATAAACGAGAAAACACATGAATGCATAACTTCAAAAGGAGCACTCTATTTTATAATTATTCTAACCTTTCGTTTAACAGGGGGAATTGTATCAGGTTTAAATGCAGGGGCTGGCATAGTATTTGGAACGACGGTTCTGGGATCCTTTAGTCGTTTGATCTCTTTAGGCGGAGCTTCTTCTTCCTTCACTGGAGGAACTTCTTCATTCTGGATAATTTGCGGGGCAGGTTTTAATACAGACTCTTGAACTTCTATTATCTGTTCTGGAGATTCAGACTTTGGCTCGATGTACGGGGTATTATTTTCCTCAATGGTCTCCTCCTTTGGACTGTCAGATGCTAGATCATCTAATTTGGCTTCCAGCAACTCTCTCAAAGCCGTCGAGAGCATCGACTTTTGCTCGCCATTCTTAGATCCATCCACTGTTTCCATGTCAATGGTAGATTCAATGATAGCCGCTTCGAAATTTAGCTGGCTTTTTGGTGTACTCGTTGTTTCTGTCTTCTTACGAATACGTTCGCTTAATGGTGGAATGGAATGAAAAATCTTTGGCGGCTCTGCGATGGATTCTGCATCCATGTTGGATGATGTAGACTCAAATATGGACTCCTCTGATGATGTAACGAGTGCGGACAGCTGTTCTGTTTTTTGAGATTCTTGACTTTGCTCGGTCTCTTTAGTGTTATTCTCAATGATGCATTCTGGTTCAGTTTTATTTTCGAACTCTTTGAATAACTTCTCCTCGTGGTTGATGTTGAACGACTTGAATGACGTTTCGTACTTCACATCGTCCATATCCTTATCCTCGGACTCTGAATCTTCTTTCGAGCTCTCCATCAAACCCTCGATACCATCCATACTCTTGTCCTTTTCTGAACTGGTGTCTACTTTTTCCTTATAGTCGTTTCCATCGTCGCCAGTGATCTTCTTCATCTGTGCTTCGACATCGAACTCGTCTATCGACATGTTATCGTCAGATTTCACTTCACTTTTCGCGTCCTCGGATCTTTTGTCATCGTCACACTTCTCATTCTCAATTTTAACCATCTCACTTATGCTACCGCCGAATTCGAGCTTCATCTCGGCTACACGTTGCTTCAGGATTGCATCTGATTCCATGAGAGCGATTGGAGAACTGAAATCTTCCATTTCTGTGTCACCCTCCTCGTTCTGATCAACTATTTCAACTGTACCCTTTTCTACCTCCAAGTGTTCTACCTCTTTTTTTATAACATGTTCCTTCTTGCTCTTATCTCTCTGATGATCTGTATCATTCTTAATGGCTCGATACTCATCTTTAACAGAAGGCTTCGACTCCAAGTGTATATACGCGTCGCATTCCATTTCATCGTACTCCTCTTTTTTTACCTCAAGGTTTTCTTCCTTTACCAGCGACGCATCTATTTGCACTACAGTCATGGATTCCTCAGATTTTATACTCTTTACGTGAAAATTCTGAGGGATGTCTACTGAAAGCTTTTGTCGCATAGTCTCGTCTGAATTCACATGTTCATGTGAATTGACCTCCTGTTTCACAGACTCTGTCATCGTGTGACGTTCATCGTTTTGCTCGATCAACGGTGATTGTAGCTGCTCGATGAAATCGTCCTAGAAGAAATTATTCGATTAAAAGATCAACCTTCTATTTACTCATAAGCAAAAAGATATGAAAAATTAAGTAATTAACTTACTTCAACAGGACACAGAGACCTGTTATTCGGAGTAGACTCAGGAACCAACATGGTGGGTGTTGTAGGTGGAGTATAATTATCCGACGACAAGCTTTCTCTAGCTATTCTCCTCTTCTTTGGCGGAGCTACCATTTCACTGGGCGGTGGACTCTCTGGCCGACTGTTGGGCGAATCACATTCCTCGGAGATGGCTTGACGTAGCCACCTCTTTTTAGCTGACCCCGTGGAAACAGGGCACACTGTGTTATTTCCACTGATAGCTTGCTTCTTTTGAGGTGGTGAATCGCATATTCCAGAGACGGAATTAGCCGCCTGGACAAGGGTCGCCAGACTCTTAGCCGCATAACTCTGCGTTAAGAACTCTGCGGAAGAGTCTGTGGGTAAGGAAAAATCCGAGGACCTACAAAGAGGGTTTATAGAATTCGACGCAGACGTTGGGGGCAATGCGGGTAACGGTGATACTTGAGATATGTTGCTCTGAGGTGGATCGGGCGATTCTTTCAGCCATTCGTTCATCAGGACTTTCTTAGTCTTTGGGAATTTAAAGCCAGGAGCTAAGGGACCAACCGCTGCTGCGACCAGTAAACAAGCCGAGGATAAAGGAGTGGATGGAGTGGAACTTTGAGAACTGCTACTCGCTCCGCTATCGCAGGTTGGACTTTTCACTGGTGTTGGTTGTTGCAAAGGAGGCGAACTGGGCCCAGGTGCGTTTGAATTAGCCAGAGCCAGCAATAGACCAGCTGCTGTTGGAATTCCTTGATGACCACCACCAGACGTAGCTACATTCTCGTTAGTATTCTTGGCAGGAGTGTGCAAGTGGGAAGAGTAAGGAGCATCCCGATTCTGAGAGTGATTTTGGCTCAGCAAAGGAGGTGACTGCAGCGAGTTGCTTTCTTCTCCAGAAGACTCGTCGGAATCCGCGGAATTTAACCTCGTCCTTCGACTACTACTTTGAGATTGAGAAGTCGTCCTTGCTCTACCTTTTCTCCTTTTTCGCCTAAGAGGTCTGTCAGAGGTTTGTTGTTTCTGCTTGGAGGACTGCACTGTGACACTAGGAGCGTCGTCGTTGTCGCTGTGCGTGCCACCGGACTCTTTTCTCTGTGCATTCCTCGCCTGAACCTCTTGTTTCCTTTGCTCCGCTTTCTCCAGCCTCTCGAAGGCTTTCATGATTGCTTCCATTTTCCTTTCTTCTCTGGTCATCTTCTTTTTGTCTTTCTTGCTTTCTGACACCTTATTGGAGGTTCCTCCTTAGGTACTTGACGCACTGTGTTCGTTACGGTGGTTGTAACTGTTCTTCTTGGTGGAGCTGATACTGTTGATACTATCGTCGGTGGTGGCACAGGTTGCGCGATGACAGTGCTATTGGGGATCGCAGTCGAGGAATCGCTGTCCTCACAGACTGTATTTCGCCTGCCCCTTCGTCTTCTCTCTCGACCGTCCGCGTTCTCAGCCAGTGTTCCGTTGCTTCCTCTTCTGTTTAATTGGTTTAGGGATACTATCTGACATTCTCTGGGATTATTACACGCACAGACGATAGGCATTATGGGGCCGTTCGGATTAGGCGATAACAGCAGGTCGTGTTGCTCGTGTCTGATCGTGATCTCAGCGTTTTTCTCGATCGCGGTAGTGGTCACGATATACAAATGTAACGTTCCTTTCTCTATACAATGTTTCACTTCTGCATTAGGCTTACAACTACGTCGCACAAATCTAGCATCGTTCCCGTACGTTCTGGTGTCCACACACACTTCCGTCCCATCGCGTGGTAACCGATAAAAGAATACGAAAGGTCCTGGCCTCTGACTGTGTTGTCTTCCTTGGGGATACGATGGCCGATGTTGTGTACTTAGCATATACTTTCCTCGTAGCTCGACAACAGGTGTGTTCGGTTGGAGATACATCGTTGCTACCAAAAACTGCATTATGAAAAAAAGAAAAGCAATCTTTTGTAATCTATTTTAATGAAAAGAATGATTCCTCGTTGTATAGAATAGTCGTACTTACTCTAACGTTGTTACTGTGTACGTTGAGCCTACATTTTCCAGTGGCGATCATACTCATGTTACTCTGCCTCAAATCGCTATGCGTGCCGTTCACTTTGATCGAGGATATTCTGGCTCTCAATTCCGGACTATAGTGATTCGTCACAGCCTCTTCGTAGCGTTCGATCCACTGTCTAAGTGGCGTGACGTTAGTAGAGCTCCATGCGTCTTGGCTATCCTCCTCCTTATCCTCTAGACTCATTCTTCGTTTAACTTTACGTTTACCTGGGCCTCGTTTTGTTGTTTCTTTTTTACGAACCGCGCTGGATTGCCTCGGATGAGAATCTCTCCTCTGTCTTTTCGCGACGTTGTTATTATTATTGTTGTTATTGTTGTTCAAACGTCTTACTTGCGGCGGCTCGGATTTCCGTCGCGGGACTTGTTGTTGTAACGTTCGTTTCTTTGGGATCGTGTTCACACCGACGTCGGTGTCTGCTGAACTAGTGGACGACGTGTCCGATGACGTATCTGAATTTAGCAATTCCTCGCGTTTTCGCATCTGTAAAGCGCGAGCTCTTTGCCTGTCTACACGTCGCGGTCGACAGATTTCACAGAGATACTCGTCAGGAATGTTAGAACGATCTATGCCCATACAGTCAACGTGTTGCCAAACTCTACGATTACGGATATTTCCATTGGTTAGTGAAAGATTAAAATTGAGTCGAAATTGAGCAGGCATCACGAGAATTTTGGTCATACTTACAAACATCGATCGCAGCAGATCATATATCCATCGTCATGCTCGAAGTCACTGAAAATTGCATATATTTTAAGATAGATACGTTTTACTTATTTTTTTTTATAAGAAATACTCACCATATACATCTAGTAACACTGTCCTCGTCGTCTCCTTCTCCTTCCGGAGCGGTCTCAGTTTCCTCACCTTCCAGTTCAACGTCTCTGCCTGTTTCGCTGCTGATAGCGCTGGCTGCATCATCTTCCACGTTAGTGCCACTAACAACTGCAATTAACAGTAATGTCGCGTTGTTAGTTACATGCGTTTTTAGCTTGTTCGCGATCGTTGAATGATCCGTGAAGTGTACCTTTCCCATAAATATAAGCGTGCTGAGAGGTTGCGGTTGAACTCCCGGCTCCATTGATGGGCTGTTTTGGATGAGAGGGTGGTGAGGGTGGTGACGGTGTTCGTGGCGGTGGTGCACCATAATTGTGATCCTGTAGGACGTACTGAAGACACTATAATCAAGAATTAAGTGTTCTAGGAACAACTATATATGACTACAAAATGCAACAGTGCACACTGTAAAATGACTCTGAAGACTCATTATTGAACAATTGCATTATGTCTACTACAGTATATGTTACCTCGTAAGGAGGGGGTATTCTTATAATTGGAGATGTAGGACGTTGTTGACGTTCATCTTCTTTAGGTTCGCGAGACTCGGGTTCAGTTCTAGAAATATTACGTTCAGTTATTCAGTTATTGACGGCGTTTTGGAAGAGACAAAGGAAACGAGTAAATACTAACTTGTTCTCGACATCCTTGCGAGGTTCCGTGCTAGTTACTGGCAGTAACGTCTTTACTTGACCAGACTGTTGCCTAACTTGCTGGGGGAACTGCGATGTCGCGATAAGCTGTTTCTGCTGTACCCCTTGCTGTTGTATTTTAATCGGCTGATTCTTATGCATCAACATGTTCGACGCGACAGTCTGCTGAGGAAGCAACGTTTTGATGCTCGTCTTTTGTGCGACTGCGGTAGTCGGTCCTTGACTCTTCACTGCAGTCACGTTTGTATTCAAAGAAGTTTTAATACCGGCTACTTTCTGCGCGTGATTCCTCTGTGCTGGCTTCTGAGGTGGTATCGTTTTGATGCATCCAGGTTGTTTCTGAGCGTTCTGAGGACCTATTACGTTCTGCTGTTGCTGAATTATTTTCACTGGCTGTGAATTTGCGGCTCTGTGTAGCGACTGTTGCACGGCATTCTGCGAGTTTGCTGGTTTCACGGTGTTCGCCATTTTCTGAGGAATACTTTTCATGTTTCCCTGCTGTAACGTCTGCGCTTGGTTTTTTGGTACACCCACTCTCATTACCATCTGTTGCTGTTGTTGCTGCATCTTCGAGTTCATCACCTGGGTTCGTTGGTTGTTGGGCATCGTTGCTATAGTGGCGACCTTCTGGTGCACATTGCTAATACTGTGACTTCTCTGTGTCGGCGGATTCGCATTCGCCTGCTGTTGTTGTTGTTGCTGCTGCTTCTGCACCACATGCTGCTGCGACTGTTGCTGTGTCTGTGAGGTCTGTTGCAGTAATTGTTGCTGTAATTGGGAAGAGTTCTGAGCTGGGTGTACTTGCTGCGACTGCTGCGGCTGCGATATCACTTGTTGCTTGTTCACAGCTAATAAATTAGCGTTCTGCGACGCCTTCGTAATATTCGGGACGCTGTTGCTTTTGCATACGTTCGTGATCGTTTGTACTCTACTGGAATTGACGGTGGCCACCGTTTGAGACTTTTGCAAAGCTGCCGTCGACTGTGATCTCTGATGATGCGACGGCTGAACTTGTTGCACATGCTTCTGAACTTGCGACGATTGTTGTTGACACTGCACTTGCCCGACTACTTGTACCTTCTGTATACCAGCTACAGAATTGCTAGGCTTCTGAACGTTATTCACCGGCGTGGTGGCTGACTGTTGCTGCCTGGGCACGGTGGTCACTGTCTTCTGCGGCTGAACCTGTAACTTCTGTAATCCCTGCTGTTGATTACCGGTTGCTATCTGTTGTAGTTGTGCTTTGTGATTCGGATGGCTACTTAACACCTGCGACGGTACCTTCTGGTTATTGTAAACCTGCGCCACCTTTTGCATGCTCGCGGCGGCATTCGCTTGTGCTTTCTGGAGCGCGGAGTTCCCCTGTTGGGCCCTCTGTGCATTGGCATTGTTCGTGACTTGATTAACAGCGAACTGAGCGGTTTGAACTGTGCCAGTGGACACCTGGCTCTTTTGTACCGTTTGTATCCTAGGTACGGTGTTCCTCTGAACAGTTACCCCCTGATTAACGTTCGTCACAGCCTTCACCTTTTGCAGGTTCACCGTCTGGCCCTGCCCAACGAGATTCTGCGCCTTTACGTGTATCCTCTGAATATTGGGTAACGAGGTTGCGGTGCTGATGGCTCTGACCGCGCTGCTACTCACCATCAACTGCGAGGAAACAGGCTGAACCTTCAGAGGCACGCTACTAGTTTGGAGACTAGGCACTGTGCTTGTCTGTTGTTTGCTCTCGCAGCTGCCCACCTGATTTCTAGCTTGCTGCTGCTTTGCCTGCGTGGACACCGCGTGCTGCAAAGGGTACACATGTGTCAGCCCGCTACCTGGAGACGGTAAGGACTGAGTGTTTACCGGAACGTGAACTACATTCGTAGAAGCGTTCAGAGTCAGAGGCGTAGTGGACTGCGTTTGGTGGGTGGACGAGGGCAATTTCTGCGAGATCACGCGAGTCGTTAACACCTGGGTGGTATTCGTCTGGGGACCAGTGATCCTCTGGACCTCCCTGACGGTTTTAGCCACGGGATAAGTAACGCTGACCGATTTTACAGTGGAAAATGAAATGACATGTCCTGCTGAGATCTCTGAAGTGCTCTCCAAACACTGAAGGATCTGAGGCTTGTTGGAATCATCGGTACCACCGACTAATGTACCGGTTGTCTCCTGATTCAACGAAGAAGATGGCTGACCGGAGGAGTTCTTCTTCTCCAGAGATGTTTCTACCGTGCCCAGCTGCAAAACGAAGCTCATGGTGGTTTCAGCGGTCTGAGGATAGCTGTCGACGCGTTTCGTCGCGGCGGAGGAGGCATCATTCTCGTTAGCATCGGTCTGCTCGGCCGGGGAGACCGAGGGAGGTGGGCCAGGCCCTGGGGACAATTGCTCCCCGCCCCCAGCTGTTCCACCCCCCGATAACTTGATCACCGACGGGGTCGACGTTTTGGAGGCCTTTCGATCACGCCAACTGGAAACTCGAGCGAGTCAGGATTGAACTGGTATCTCCTCGTCCGGCAGCTTGGGATACCGCACTCTTCGATTCCGCTATTTGAGGATCCTGAACCATAGGCTGCAAGAAGTACGATTTAAAATTAGAGAAAGATTTTATAGAGAAAAGTTCTACGTACGTATATTTTTAAGAATGAAAATGTGTCTTTGGTTGGCTACATACCCCAGCCTAAACATCTCGTGAGAGGCATTAATTATTCAGAGGCCGTGACGTGGCGGTGCAATATTCAAGGCTATCGATCGGAAAGAAAAACGTTTCCACCGGTATCTAACACAGATCGCCGCCGTCTTCAACGGATTCGAGTAAAATAATCTATTTTTACACTCATCGAACGTGTCAAAACTTTTTAAGTAAACCTTTCAATTTAGGTCCTCTTTATTTTCAATAGAAAAACAAAAGTAGCCTCGACTTACACGGTACCAATTGATCGTATATTCCAAGTATTTAATTACGATGATCCAGTGTAAAACCGGTGTAGTGTGAAAAAGAGATGGAAAGGACAATTTGCAAGAGCGTTTAACGATGATGTCTCTCAATGCAAACCGGTTCGTGGTCGTGCGATAAAATCGATTTAGATTACAGAAAGATTAAGCTCGATGAATCGATCTTGAGCGTTTAATTACAGCGTCTTTTGATCCTGGATGGGGAGGAAAATTCCAGAAAATTCCTTCCTCTCTCTCGAGAAACATTACGAAGCGTGTAACAAGCATTTGCAGGTTTATGTCAAGTCGCGCACGTGCGGCTGGACCAACGCCAAGTGTGCCTGCGTGGTTCTGCCACCTCGTGTACGCTACTAACGAATTAGTATTATCAATTTCCTCCGCGGAGCTCAATGTAAACAGCCGATCGGATATAAAAATACGCGGCGCTGGCCATTCGCGACGGCGAAAGCTATCGCTAGGCTTGATTCGCAACGTGCAACTATCGATAACAGAGAACATCGTGTAATTAAGACGGGGGAATACCCTTTTCTTTACCACTAAAGTGATAAAACGATACTTTTTCCAGGCGATTCCGAGTGCTTTCCATACAATTTCTCTACACGGTAACGCATAAAATAATGATTTTTAATAATAATAATAATAATAATAAAAAGAACGAAACAAAAAAGAAATCAGCTGAAATCGTAATGATAGGTACAGATTGTTGCATTTTTCAAGCATCTTCTTCCAAGTACCGTCAGTTTTCTGGTCATCGTGAAATGGAAAAATTCCTCTACGCGAGCGAAACTAGAGTCGCGATCACGCGACCAGTGCGTGAATAGGAAGCGGTCGTTCCATGTGCACCGTGCCTTTTACAGTGCCACTCATTGTCAGCGGCACGTGCTACTACTACTGAAAGCCGCGCAGCAGTCGTTTCTCAGGCTTTTGTCCCAGGCTTTTCAGAAAAAAATCGCGGCAACCGACTAATTACAACTCCATCGTAAATCCACTATACACCCGTAACGGTATAACCATTTAACAGTTTACGATCTATTACAATGAATTTATTCGTTATTCTCCAACTGATATTTTCCTCATGATTAACGACACATTCGAATTGTATCCTGAAATTGGCCGACTCCGAGGAAAGCTATCGCGCGTTACACAACTGCACCGCGGTAGGTCACGTGACCGGTTGCAGCGTAACGGCGTTATCGGCACTGTCAAAACGCCAATGGCAGAGATTCAGCTTTCATCGCGTGGCCACGCAGGCATCTGTTAACCGAGGTTATGCACTCTCGATCGTGCGCGTCGCGATTTAATTTTAACCCGACTGGCCAAGCTTGTATACACGCTTTAACTCATCCCCAAGTAAAAAATCTGCATTTTCAGAAAGGAACTAAGAAACCAAGTAGAGAATGTGGTATTATTTCAGGGAAACTGCCAGAACCAGCTGTTGTACACCATGTACGTGCGATGGCTAAATATAGATTTAATCGTTTCAGCTGTTACGCGTACCATTGGTAACTGGCCAATAAATTGGGCGAAAATTCCGGAGAAGCGTAAAATTGAAAAGAAAAGAAGGTATTATCTCTGCAACCTTTTGGTGAATCTCGCAGGGAAGTGAACAGCTGTCTTTCCAGCGTCCGCGAGTTAACGAGCGTGCAGCGTTGCAGGCTGGTTTGTCGCGTTGGCAGCAATGGGATTTGTGGCGACCTACTTGGCGTACCTCGACCCTTGCATTGATTCGATACGAACCAAAATTATTCCTGAACGATTATCGCTCAATGCTGTCACCTCCTCCCCTTTTCATGCACACACATACATTCGCTCCACTGCTCAATCACAGCATCCCTCTGATCATCTCTGCTATGGTTTAAAACAAACTACTCTATCGATCTGTTATCCATCATTTTTCAAGCAGTTGTCACAGCGGTAAAAAAGTTGCTTGAGGAAGGTAGTACTCTAATAGAACGGTATCAGAGAAGGAAAAGAGGGATAAACGCGGTTTGCAATAGTATCAATGCTCGCATTGTCAGAGCGACAAGTCGTTTGACGCTTCCGCTGACCCTTTCGCCACAGGGAAACGGTGTTGCTCTTTCGCTAGTGCGCAGCTGAAATGCGCACTCCGTTGTACTCGGCCTGTATTCCATCCGCCGCTAAGTTCATTCGAAGAACAATCCCGCTCTAAATACCATAACTAATTCCTGAACGGGAAACTTCACCCTGTATATGGTCATATCGATTTTTTCCCGGCATACCTGCGTACAATTATTCCGGGTTTCACTTCTGGTCCATCATCAACGACTTTCCTACGGAAAAAAAAAGTACCTACCCATAACAAGATAGTATAATCAGTGGAAGAAATTGCTTGCAATTATTGAACATTTTTAGTTTCATAGGGATTATAGTATAGTACAGTCTTTCTCCAGTATACGGTCACATTCCTAAGCGATTAATCCGCAGAACCGCGCGCTACCACCAGCCAGTGGAATGAAACCGTGCACGACAGTCTCCTCTGGAGAGACATTACACTTCCAGTAGATTCATACATCAAATCACTCTCGATCATTTTCCTATCGAACGTGTTTCATTCGTTCCCGTTGGAGGACATGAACGGCCATGTTGCATATCGACCGCCGCGAAAGTACGAAAAGGGATTGCAAAACTGCGCACAGAGCGTTCCCATTCATTTACATGTATGATCGAGCGAAAAAGCACGAAACTGCCGCGGAATGAAGTGGTTGTTCTTCGCCTCTGCGTATCATTTAAATCCTCCCCCATTCCCTGACCTTTTTAACGCCCCTTTTGGACAAATTATCGAGGAAATGCTCTCGTAGTATTGTTTCTTGCGTCTGGTTCCTACACGTCTGTCGGTGTAGCGCGCGTGAATACGACGCAAAAGCGAGGAGAGGACGGCGATATACCGGTTATTGGCGGGGACTCTGGCATATTTCACCGAGTGTCCGGCAATCAGGCCTTTGTATACTGCACGCTCGCGCTCTCCCGCGCACGGAGAGTGGGGAGGAGGATCGACAAGTCGAACATTTAGCGGCGTAGAAGTAGACGTAAAAGCAGCAGTATGTTTACTGGAAGAAATATGTATGCCGATGCTTTCGTGAAATTCACGGAAAGTTCAATCCACCTAGATTTCATTTTAAATATTCATTTACCTTAAAGGCAAGTTCAAAACGGGTACTACTTCCGAAGTTTCTTTCCTTTTTTCCGACGGCACATGAATACGTAATATCCCTAGTATCGAATCATACTGCGGCTTGCAAGCGTAAGACTTTCAGTCCATTGTAAACATTCAAAATTGACCATGTATTCATTTTTGAAATTTTTTGCAAGTAGAAGTAATGCGCAATTAGAAGGCCATTCCGTCGAATGATTAACAATACGTTAAGAAAACTTGCACTGCAACTCTACACATTATGTGGGAGTGTTTAAGGCGCGGGGGTCCGGGGGATGAGGATACAGCTTTGTACACCTCCACTATTACAACCAAGGTTACCGAGAATCCCGCATCTTTCTCGCGCTAGCCAGCCAAACCGTACTAACTTTTATTGCATTTCGCTGCATCTGTCCCCTACCCGCTTTTAAACAATTGCACAATCCGCCTACCGTTTACGCAAAAAATTCAATAGACGAGCCTGGCCTTATCGCGATGATTTAATGGACGGCAGTTTACGCAATCGTAATGGCATATCGTGGAAAAACGGAAAATAGTATTCTACTTCTACTTTCAACCAGCTTAGCGATATACTCCGCTGTTTATCGTGAACACGGCGTACCCATAGTAACCGCAAGCACCATTAATACACTCTGATGTCATCCCTGAGAAATGCATCGACTCTTTGCGGCGTAAATCTTGTGAAATCGTCGCCTTCTCTCGTGTTCCCTTGATTTTCGATTCGAGTATTATGTGTTTCAAACGTCTGTTTCATTTTAATCGATCGTTGGTGAAAAATCGATAATCGAAGAGGAAACTTAGTTATAAGCATATGGAAGATTCGTTAGATCGATATAATCTGCTGGCCTAAACTATTGCCAGGCGATGACACAAATTTCTGCAAGTAAATACGATGCACCACTACTGTGCATACGCATCGACATCGTCCTATTGGACCTTCCGCGGTGACGTCAGTAGGGTCGACCAATGATAATGGTCGAGCAAGTCCGAGCACTTCGGTCCTCTACTACTGCGTTGTCAAAAAAGAACGAACAATGGTTAACTGATTACACGGTGTGACCTTATTCTATGCTATAATTAAAAAAAAAATCCCGAGCAATTTTAAAATTCGAGAACCATGCGTATATCCAATTCGTCTGACTTCTCTAAGTAAAAGAAGAAGAATGAATTGACAATTGATATAGGTATTGGAGGGAAGGATGGATTCTCTTGGATATGGCTTTCTTGCGAATCAAACGTGTATGTGTTGCGCGTGCCCGTCACTGCGCGCGAACTTCCCTTGCGGTCGATACGATTTCACCTCGTAGCCAACAAATGCTACCACCAGAGGCGTACCCCACCGAATTCAATTTCGAGACGCTTAAACTTAAACTTCCATACTCTCCAATTGTTCAAAAATTATTTTTCCAATTTTTTCAACCTTTCGATTGCCCAATATATTGAATATTTTTTAATTTTTTGTTTTGTGGTAAAGCCATTGGTTAACCACCCACGAACATTATATCAGCCCCGTGCTCCACCACAAATACCCCAGATTTGACTTTAAAACGAACACTCGAGGCTACTCGAACCGACAAACGGAAGATTTATTGGACGTTTTTACGTGCAATATCAATGTTACCCGTAATTCTATTATCTAGATCCAGCTCGATAAGAAATTACTACATTTCCGAACTATATTCCTGAGGATGTAAACGGCGCAGAGTTGCACGGAAGAGGGGGGTGGTCAAAGAAAATAGGAGAGACAAGAGCAGGATTGGAAGGGATCACGAAAGGAATAAGAAAAAAGAGAACGAGAGAAC